CCCCCCCCCCCTGTGCTAGGGGCCCGGGCCAGAAAATTGGTACCAGGGCCCGAGATGGGATGTGGCGGGCCTGCCTAGCACTATTCGATCGCCCTGTTAATTTTCAGTGGCGTAGACAAGGGAGCCCGGTCCAGGGGGTCTGGACACCCCCCCTCCCTTAGCCTCGTTAATTGTACCTTTTTTGACCTTTGGAGGGCGGACATAAAATATTATCAGGGGCGTACACAAATAAATAAAAGTTACCATCACGTTTTTTAATGGGCCCAAGACCCCCCCCCCTTAAAAATTCCTATACGCCACTGTTACTTTTTGTGCTTGAGCTATATGTTCGGTGTTTTTTTTTTCTCGTAAAAATAAGGCTATTTGTGAATTGTTCGCAGATACTATGGACAGCGCTGTCCCTTGCCCTAGGCTACGAAGTTAGAGGAGACTTAATACGAGGACTACCATGTATCAAACGCAACCATCAGCTATTCTGTCCCACAGCAGGAAACAGATACCCGGCGTAAGTTTCTCTGACAATTATAATTCAATTGCATTTCATTATTTACACTCCTTGTTATCGTGTTCCGATGCGCACATCTCGTTTTTCATCATGCAACAAGTTCTTATCTGCCAGTATTTTCTGATGTCGTGCGACACAACAGCTCTTTGGTGACGCGATATTAGCTCACATGCGCTGGAACATATGTGTAGTTTTGTAGTTGAAGATCAATCAGACTTGCTTGCGAATAGAAAATTCACGAATTGAAAAGTGGAGACAAGGCGATTGTCGTGAAATCTTCTGCCATTTTAATGGGGGTAAGAGGGAGGATCTTTGTCAAGTGCGCCTGATGACGTCTTCAATTATTTATTCAATGGCATCAATAGTTCATTCGTCACCTTCCGGCTAAAGTATCACAAGCGTAATGCGACGTTTAAAAATTTCTGCCGCCATTTTATTTTTTTACAGAGAAATTGTTCAATGTTCAACGAAGCTGTCCGAAAATTTCACTGAACTTGCTTTGTGCTGCCGATAAAATTCAGGAAAATTTTCGAACAGATTCAACCAACAATTTCACTGTGAAAAAACAAAATGACGATGGAAATTTAGAAAAGTCGCACGTCGCTTGTGATACTTTGGCCGGAAAGTGAAGATTCGACGAAATATCAAAAATGATGCACCTAAAAAATTGAATAAAAAGCTTCGATGGGGAATTATCGATAATCGATAATTCATGCCTCCCCACTGTTCAGTGACTTGATAGAACTAGACAATTTTTTGAAAATACAAACAATTTAGGGGCTTGGGGACAAGGCGCATTTGGGCAGTTTTTGAAAAGATTGAGTTAGTATATAACTACTTCAATTAAAACTAGTCGTAATGCATAATCCGTGAAAAACTCGCTCCCAAACTCCAATTTTTAAGCATCAAAAAGTCTGTTTGAACTTTCTTTCTGCTATGTGGATTCATGTAATTTCGAAACTTCAACCAAGTATTTCTCGAAATAGCAAAAACTGCACTTATGCGCCTTGTCATCCAAGCCTCTCAACTCGGGATGTTATGGGTGTTAGGAGATGAATTCAATATTTTCGTTACACTGTGCTAGTCTGCCGTGCTGAATAAAAACGCCGTATAAGTATTCAGGTGTTGCCACATTTCCTTCAATAAAACCCGAATACCTAGGAAAATTCTAAATATTTTTCCTTAAATTTTTCAGACATTTTTTTTTCGCAATTTAATCGAAAATATCTAAAATTTTCAAGAAAAATGTGCACAACTCTCTTCAAAAATACATGTTTTATTCGGGGAGGTTTGGCAACTCCCGAATGCTCATTTGGCGCTCTTCCCTAGTATGGCAGTACCAGGTGTTAGTGTGTTTACGATGAAATATCATCACTGACTGAAGTTTACTGTTTTTCAAATTCGTGATTTCAAAATCACACTTATGTTCTGAACTTTACGAAATTCCCTGATTTTGATCATGGTTGCAATTTTTCGTGAGCAAAAAAAATCTTGAAATTCACGTGAAATATTTCATGAAATTTCAGAAATATATGAGAGATATTGAAAAATATCGGTTCTTCTTCATGTTCCGCAAAATGTAAAAATTGTCACTTTTTTATGTTTGTGTGTGTTTAAGTGCGGGTTGCATACTCTAGCCCCTGAAAAATATTAAATATCTCACAGCCTCGTGAAATTTCATGAAATATTTCACGGAATTTTCCGCAATCTCTCATATTTTTCATTTCACGTGTGCAACCCTGGAGTATGTGGATACGAGTCTGATTTCAGGGAGGAGATCGAGAGATTCATCGATGAGAACAAGGCCCTGGTGAAGCGGATGTATGGGGAGTTCGAGTCGACCCCGTACGGACAGTCGGCGTCGCAACCCTCGCCCGGGCAGGAAACGTTCGAGCCGTACCCCCGGACCAAGAGGAAAACAGGGACGAAATGGAAGTCGGACGCCGACTGGGGCGGGACGCCGGCGCCCGGGCCGGACATCCAGGGATCCAGTCCCGCCGACGCCAAGTCGCGATACTCCAGGCAGGCCCCCAAAAACCCACCCAAAGACGACTCCGGCAGGTTAGTATGCATCTTTCATTAGTATAACGTCTTTCTCTCCTGCACTGGAAAAAAAAAACCACATTGGATCTAGAGTCCAGACTCTTGAAAAACATCGATAAGAAAAATACTCTTGATTCAATCAGATTTAAGCTTAAATCAAGAACCAAGCCTCTTAATTTGAGCGGATTTCCTTTTGACTTAAGCTTAAATCTGATTGAATCAAGAGTCCTTTTTCTTGTCAATGTTTTCAAGAGTCTGGACTCTAGATCCAATCCAATGTGTTTTTTTTTTTTTCCGGTGTGAATCCAGTGCTCCCATTTTCCGGAACTAGTACCGAATTCCGGAACTTTTGAGATTTTCCTGAATTTTTTCGGAGCTTTTGTAATTCGCGAAATATTATTCCGGATCTTTTGCATTTTCAGGAACTTTCTCAAAACTTTTGACAAAATGTAAAAGGAATCCCAGAACTTTTGACGGTCATGGAGGGGGAGAAATTGGGACAAGAAAATTCCGAATCCCGGAACTATTGACGGACATGGAATGGGAGCACTGTCTATCTATGTTGAGCACCAGCGGTGATTCTTGAAATTGATAGACAAAGCCATACACGAAGAGGACAGAAGGGGTTTGAAGGGATCCTATTGGTGGAAGCGGATGGATGCAATAGACAAAGGAGGTAGGTACAGTGAAAGGTCGCTAAGTCGAATTGTGTAGGGACCGACGAAAAATTCGACCTAGGCGGCATTCGTCCTAACCGATTCTCCATTTAACTTATGGACGTGTCCAGGGACCGAAAAAAAATTCGACTTGATCGGCATTTCGTCGTAACTGCAGTTCGACTTAGCGAGCGTTTACTGTAAATAGACTCCCTGGTAAAAATTGGCGATAGGAGCTGCGTTTCAAAATACCGTAGGAGTTCTTATAGCCGACTGAAGAAGGCGATAGACAATCATATCGCTGGCTGTAGAAAGTGGATAAAATCATACAGCCGGGCTACACGAAGCGATAAAAAATTATACAGCCGGGCTATAGTTCCTATCACCGGGCTTCACACTTTATCGCCTGGCTGTTGCTTTTTCGCCATCGTCTATAAAAGGCTGCAAGAAATTGTGTAGATATTCGTGTGCTTTGGAAATCCTTAAGTTTGTACGGAATCACCTTAATATTTACAGAACGCATATTATAACTTCCTGTACTACAATTTTTTTTTCATCAATTAAAATGAGAATAATCCATACAGAGTGTGCAAACATTTCAAAGTCATGAGTTGAAAAACGCTGACTCCGCGAGATTAAATACTAGAGCCGAACACAAAGCAGAGCGGCGGCGCACTGGCGCCTACAAACCTAACAGGGATACTTCACGCATTGCGCAATGCGAGAAGTATCTCTGTTAGGTTTGTAGGCGGCAATGCGCGTTTCGCGCTGGCTGCCCGTCCGCCGCGCCGCCGCCGCAGCATACCACGGCGCTTGAAGCAACTATTTCACACCAGAAGTATTGCACAGTATCATACGAAATTGAAGGCGCTCCAACATATTAGGAATGGCAGGCATCCTCCAAAAGTACGGAGCTTTCCTCGCAAAATAAATCAAGATACGGCTCAAAAAGAGAGCGGTAGTCCAAAAACTCGCCAAGTCCTAGCATCCGTACGTAAGTTTAGCATACACTTTATCGCCAGGCTGTTGCTTCATCGCCATCGGCTATAAAAGGCTATAAGAAATTGTGTTGCCGGCTATTGTGTTGGCGGAAGCTATTGGAAATCTTACAGCCGGCTGTAGGTCTATGGTATTTTGGAACACAGATTCTACTGCCAATTTTTACCAGGGACCAGCGGGCAGATTTTTGAAATTGATAGACAAAGCGACACACAAAGAAGACACAAGGGATATGGATGGATCCTATTCAGGGTTGCTACAGAATTTAGAAAATTAAATACCCTGACATTTCCCTGATTTCTCTGTCACATTTTGCAAGAATTCCCTGACAAATGAAGATATGCCAGATGCTTAAAAATACATAATTTGAAATAGAGTCAGGGTAACATTTGAGACCAACTAACGGCAACCCACGAGAGACCCTACAGTTAGTCTATCATTCCCTTCCCCCTTGTCTATAGAAAAAGAAACCACCCATTTCAACCTATATAGGATTGCTCCATACTTTCTATGTCCTCTTTGTATATTGCTTTGTTTGTCGATTTCAACAATCAGCCCGGAGTGTAGGAGGAGTAGGGGAGGTTATGGATTCGACCAACATGAATCGATCGAAAAATAAAAAAGTGACTGATCGACAGCGATACGATCGGCAGCCGGAAACGATCGAAAAACCCGTTAATCGGATTGAGTCTTTCGATCGAATCGGTGTCGATATCGAGTCGGGTCGATCGGTCTACGTTGGTATTTTTTGGTCGATTCATGTCGATCGAATCGACATCGGTCTTTTGACCAATTGGAGTACATTTTACATTTCGGAACTACAATTTCTGGCTCAGTTTAGAAACACGTATGTACTATTAGTTTCCGGGTGCACGTGTGTGTTTTTACGCATGAGCCAGAAATGTAATTTCTATAATCGAAAAATGAAGGTGTCGATTGAATGCATACCCATGAAATGTAGGAAGAGTGTTGCCATGTCTGTGCCGCTCTCTGATTTGTTAATCAGTTTTAGCCAGTGTGAAAAAAATTACTTTAAATAAAAGTTTCAGGTGTCTCTGTTATTTGCTTTCATGTTTGAAATTTATTGTGAGCCTCAGGACTAGCAAGTCATTTTGAATCCTCTCATGTGGTTTCATTAAACGGGATTGACTCGTCTCTGTCAAAATTCATTTTTCAAATGAGAAAAATACTCAGCTGCAATTTTTCAAAACTTCACTGATTTTACCTCTGTGAAGAATATTCTCAGAGAATTTCAAGTTAAAGCGTTGGCTCGTCCTCTTTCGATCAGACAAAATGAGAGCGAAGATTTTGAAACGCCGCAAACGACAAACCGCATTTTTCCATCAGTCGGCGTATCAAATAGAGGCATCCTTCTGGACACTGCAATGTTTCGAAAAGAGTGGAAAAAGCTTTTTGTTGCCCTTGAATATTTTTCCACACGTTCTTTACTCATTAAAACCGACTTCTCGCCCGCATTCATTAAATTACAAACGAGAAAAGGCCAAAAAATCTCTCATTTCCTGAGAGTAAAGGCATGGTAATTTCTAATTTTGTCGTCTTTTGGTGATATAAAAGAGAGGACCTTTAATTAGTCGAGTAAAGAGAGGACCCAAACACGCAATTTGGCCTGGAGCGGCGCGGTGCAGAGAGCAATGATAACGAGGACTTGAGATGAAAAGGAGAAGCCCTCGGCGCGGCGCGGCGGTCGGCATGTAACACATATTAGCGCCTACAAGACTGCATGAATACTTCACGCATTGCGTCGAGCACGGTGCGGTCAGCGTGAAACGCATAGCGCCTACAAGACTGCATGAATACTTCACACATTGCGTCAAACACAGTGCGATCAGCAGCGGTCTGCGTGAGACGCATAGCGCCTACAAGACTGTAGGAATACTTCACGCATTGTACCTAACACAGTGCGGTCAACGCGGCGCGGCGGCGGAAGTTAAAATTTTTAAACTACATTTATGTTTGTTCTTTCATAATTGTTTCCTTCATTTCTTACAAGTGAAAGGCCTTTTCACATGGAGATAAGTTTACGGAACTTAACTTTCGCTCAAAGTTCCGTGAAATTTTGCTAGTGTTGATACGGCTTTCACAAAAAATGTGCCCAAAACGAGTAAACGCGTCTTATGCACCCCCCCCCCCCCGGCACATTCACTTAATGGTTTTTATTAATGTTTCAAAACGAACGAGAAAGGGGCGGCAAAATACAGGCGGCCCATGGGCGGCAAGCAGGTAAATCCGGCCCTGACATTGACATCTTATTTTATTTCTTCACTTTTTCTTGAAGGGCCCTCCCAACTGCCTGCCTCTTTTGACTTATCAATAGTAGAACTGCACAAATGCGCGTGTTTTTTGATGCGTTGCAAAATATTCGTTCCTATCGTACATCATCTTAGGAGAACAAGCAACACTATTTCTTAAATTTTTCCCAGAGTATTCTTCACACAGCGAATAAAAATCAGTGAGGTTCTAAAAAAATGACGTTGAGTATTTACCATTTTACCATACTAAGTATTTTACCATTTACAAAATAAGTAACGACAGGAAGTCTACAACCCGAGGTGCGCGTGTTTGCAGTTCTACTGGCGATCTATGGATCGTTTTGCATGGGTTTAAAAGGAAGAGATCGGCGGAGTTGCCAAATCGCTACTGATTGGAATTCGTTTTTCAGAGGTCAGTCGTAAAATAGTCGAATAGCGTTTCTAGACGAAACGCACGCAAGGTGCCGCTGCGGGTGGACACGGGAGTAATTAATGCGAAGGAAGTTTTATGGTCCCACCTTGATATTTATTGCTGCTTATCTCGTATCTTGATTCAGGAATGCGAGCCTGTGTAATGTTGTATTGCGAATTTCAGAGTTACGCAAGTGTGTCCCCAGGGTCGTTTATGAAGGAGAAGGGCGGGGATACTGCCGTGCTACGGAAGAACGTTGTATGAGCCATCAGGCGCTGCCAAATTTCCTGTCAAAGCTCGTATTTTCAGGGAAATTTGTCAATATTTCTCTTAGTGCTCCCGTTTCCCGGAAGGAGCTCTGCATTCCGGAACTTTTGAGATTTTCCTGAATGTTTTCCGAAACTTTTGAGATTTTTGGAATGTTTTCCGGAACTTTTGAGATGTTCCTGAATGTTGCCCGAAACTTTTGAAATTCTCGAAATGCTCCGGATCTTTTACTTACATTTTCTGGAACTTTCTCGGAACTTTTGAAAAAATCTATAAGGAATCCCGGAACTTGTGTCGATCCAGGCAACCTTGAACGACCAAAAATTTCAGTGTTACGCAAGTGAGTCCCCAGGGTCGTTTGTGAAGGAGAGGGGCGGGGGTACTGCCGTGCTGAGGAAGAACGCCGTATGAGCCATCAGGCGCTGCCAAATTTCCTGTCAAAGCTCGTATTTTCAGGGAAATTCGACAATATTTCTCTTAAGGCTCCCGTTTCCCGGAAGTAGCTCCGCATTCCGGAACTTTTGAGATTTTCCTGAATGTTTCCCGGAAGTAGCTCCGCATTCCGGAACTTTTGAGATTTTCCTGAATGTTTTCCGGAAATTTTGAGATGTTTCTCAATGTTTCCCAGAACTTATGAGATTTTTCTGAATGTTTTCCGGAACTTTTGAGATTTTTCTGAATGTTTTCCGGAACTTTTGAGATTTTCCTGAAAGTTTCCCGGAACTTTTGAAATTCCCGAAATGTTCCGGATCTTTTATATACATTTTCTCGAACTTTCTCAGAACTTTTGAAAAAATCTATAAGGAATCCCGGAACTTTTGTCGATCCAGGCAACCTTGAACGACCAAAAATTTTGTTCGCTTTGCTAAAAGTTTGATCTCAGATACTTACTGCCGCAATGAGCAGTCCCACTCGTGATTTGACATTTTGATAGGTGGATTACATTTTGCAATAAGGAACCACTATTTCTGGCCAATTTTAGAAACGACATATGTGCCATTGGTTTCCCTATGCAGATAAGTACTTTAATGGGAGAGCCAAAGATAGTGGTTCCTTTTTGCAAAATGTAATCCAGGTAATCTTTGCCCCCCATAAAATGAATACTTCACTCCCTTTTTCATGTTTTTTTTTATTCTTATACTTGTTTATCTTTTTACAGAGTTGACGCTTGTCAATCGAAGCTAGAAATCATCACTCCATATTGGGCGTCCAATAGTGCGGGCAAGGTGCGCGCTATCGTAAACACTCAGCACTTCGAGCAGTCAGTTCACCAAGAAACATGCTCGTGAGTATATTGTTCTTTCAAAGCAATTAATAAATAATTAATTTTTAAAGCAATTATGGGGGGAAAAAAGTTTCTCTCAAGGCTAGGTCTTACTTAGTTACTCGTAACACTATAAATCTAAAGTTGGTAACAGACTGTTTGTGGAAGGAAATTGGTTACCTAAAGCATTTTTTTGTTCTGTTTTTTGCCCAATAATTCGTGTAAGGAAAAAGTAGTAGAAGAGGGAAAGATAACGTTGTCGTGTTAAGATAGAACTACGTATGAGCATTAAAGAAGAGCAAGAGAGTTATGCATATTTCTCCTCGAAATTTTTGGATATTTTAAATTAAATCGCGCACAAAATTGTGTGAAAACTTGGAGGATCAATTTGCAAAACCATCCAAAATCATTCAAATTCATCTGTAAATTCATTTTTTACAGTAAAAAAATAATTTACTGGGAAAATTTTGAATATTTATCCTCCGAGTTTTCATCAATTTTATTCGGGATTAAATAAAAAATATCTGAAAATTTCAAGGAAAAATATACATAACGCTCTTCAAAAATACATGTCTTATTCGGGGAAATTTGGCAACTCAACTCTCAAAAGTTCACACGGAGTTCTTCCCTAGCACAGGAGCATGGTTATCATCCCTCTGACTTTTAGTAGCGGATGTATTTTGCCTATTCTCTCGATTCAAAGGCGTATTTAATGAATAATCACATTTGCAACATGAGCGCGCAACGTTGAGAGCGATTGCGTGTTGCCTATCCTTTAATTTCAAGGCGCGGACATTCCCCGCGTTGATCAAAGAAGCGAATCGAATAAATCACTTTTGGTCATGAAGCGCGATGTCAGGGCAACATTTTTCAATACACAGAAAGTTTACTGAAACTTTTCAGCCTGCAAAAAGTTCAATTTTGATTTTGGACAGTTATTTTTTTTAAGAGGGATACAAAAAAGCGGTAGGGCATTCCAGCTGTCTGGGTGCAGGACATACTTTTTGAGAGGATTTGAAATAAAGGATTCCATTTGGAATTTCTCAACAGGAGAGCATCAACTGGGCGGTGCGCGAAGGACTGCGGATGCGAACAAAAATACAAGTGGCACCGGCTAATGGCTTATGATCCCGACAATGACTGCAAAGGCATCTTCATGGATTGGTTCCTCTTCCCGTCTTGCTGTGTTTGCCGCTGCAACCCACTGTAGATACTAGTTACCATAAACACCTACCAACTATTGATCAATCTTTGTTCCTGTCACTCTCTATTGCACTTGAAATGAAAATTTGTGAATAAAATCCATTTTAATCATTCTGTCTTCCATTTACTTAGCCTACGCCATCGTTCCCTGGTAAAAATTGGCGATAGGAGCTGCGTTTCAAAATACCATGGGAATTATTATAGCCGGCTAAAGAAGGCAATAGAAAATCATATAGCTGGCTGTAGAAAGCGGAGCAAATCATACAGCCGGGCTATACGAAGCGATAAAAAAGTATGTAGCTGGGCTATAGTTCCTATTGCCGGGCTTTACACTTTATCGCCATCGGCTATAAAAGGCTATGAGAAATTGTGTAGAAATTCGTGTGCTTTGGAAAGCATTAAGTTTGATACGAAGCCAACATAATATTCACAAAACACACATTATATTTTCCTTTAATACATATTTTTTTTCAGCAATTAAAATGAGAATAATCCATACAGGATGTGCAAACATTTCAAAATCATGAGTTGAAAAACGCTGACTCCGCAAGATTATATTGGAGCATAACACAGAGCGGAGCGGCGTGCTGTCAGCGATAAGCGCGCACCAGCGCCTACAAACCTAACTGGGATACTTCACGCATGGCGCAATGCGTGAAGTATTCCTGTTAGGTTTGTAGGCGCTAGGGCGCTTTTCGCGCTGGCTGCCCGCCCGCCGCGCCGCAGCGTGCCACGGCGCTTGAAGCAACTATTTCACACAAGAGGTGTTGCACAGTATCATACGAAATTGAAGGCGCTCCAACATACAGGGTGATCCAAAAGTCCCTTCCACCCCCTCTAACTTTTTACCTAATTGAGGTAAAGATTTGAAACTTGGGGGATATTCCTAGGTCAAAGGGAGCTACTTTTTGGCCCCCCTAAAATTTTCAGGGGGGCCCCC